TAAATAAATAAATAAATAAATAAATAAATAAATAAATAAATAAATAAATAAAGCAGAGAGCTGAAGTAAGATTCCTAACATATTCTCTGGCAATCAGACAATTCAACAGCCTATCCTAAGGCAGGGCAGACAGTCTTAACTGATATGTCCCCACTGTTTGAGGGTAACCACTATCTTGGGGAAGAACAGAATATATAAATCCCTTGTGTTGGGTTTATTTAGCAGAATTAGCTGGAGAACTCATAGTAAAGGAAAGGAGACATGGTGTCTCTCACCAGACATAAGCACCTTGAGACCACAAGTCAAGCCTACGTCCAACACCACCCACCCCCAGCCCTTTGCCCCATTCTTGAAAGCCTTAAAAGACAGAATCCCCAAACTTTCAATGCACCTCCTTTCTGAGGCCACCCACACTTTTTCTCTCTTTAAGTGCCTAACTTGAAATAAAGCTTTCTCACTGCTCAAATTATTGTGGTTTGTCTGTGTGCTACTTCATTTTATTTCCAAGTCTTCACTCTGTCTTTGTTTTACCTCTAAAAAGTAGGAAGGGGCTGCTAAGAGCTCATATTTGGGCTTGCATGTTTCCGTCACCTGGGTGACCTGGACAGAACTGCAGCTGTGTGGTCTGCTCTTAGTAGCCTGCCTGAAAATCTCCTTTCTTTGGGAAGTTCTGAGAACATAATCTCACTCCATCCTGTGCTCCATAGCTCTCCCAAATCCTGGGGTGGTAGGGGCTGGTCCCCATGCTGTGCAGATCCAAGTGGACACAGGATGGCAGGTGGCCCTGATTTCAGGAATTGGCAAGGAAATCTGAGGCCGAGAACTTTCCCTCTGTGCTTTCCTATTTTCTGCTGCCTGCAAGGCAGCTGCCATTCCCCGCTGCTCTTGCTTTAATGAATTCCTTCCTTACCTACACTCGTCTGACCTGTTGTAGAATTCTTTCTCGCCAGACTGTGTTAATCCCTCCCTGGTCCAGGCTGAGGTTTCTCCTAGTGCCTCACCTAGTGAGCGGGGAGAGACCTCCCCAGACACAGCTGCTCTGCAACAATACCAGGTAGATTAAAAGCTCAAATGCAAAAGCAAGAAAAAAAACTAGAAGGAAATGTAAATATGTATCAAATCTTTGGTTTGAAAATGACTATACTCATAATAATTAAAGAAATCACAGGAGAATTGTTTTAACTATAATTTAACAAAAATTAAAACATTTAATGTGAAAAATACCTCCTACCCAAATTAAATGTAAAATAAAACCTGAAAAATATTTGAGCCAGTATGACAAAGGGCTAATTTACTGTAAAAAAAAAAAACCTCACAAATGGGTAAGAGGCACAAAAAGAATCAGCTCCAACTCCTATGGATAAAGATGTCTGGCTACAGCCAGTTCCTAATCCCGTTCAGAGCAGGGTTCTCTGTAGCACTAAGGGTGAGACAGCTGCAAAACCACACCTGCACAATAAAAATCAGCTTGCAAAAAAATTTAAAGAGTGCCACAAGACCCAACAAACAGAAGAATTCACAACCAAAGAAGTAGATATTAAAAAAATATGAAAAGTGCTCTTTGGAGAAATGTGTATTTAGCACTTTTCCCATTTTTTAATCACATTATTTTTTTTTGTTGTTCAAAATAGCCAGCAGACGTACAAAAAGATGCTCAACATCACCAATCATCATGGAAATGTGTATCAAAACCACCACGAGACATCACATTATACCAGTCAGAACAACTATCACCAAGAAGACAAGGGACAAAGGTGCTGACAAGGATGTGTTGAGAACAGAACTCTTTTATACACTATCGGTGGGAATGTAAATTGGTCCAACCACTATGTAAAACAATACGGAGTTTCCTCAGAACATTAAAAATAGATCTACCACATGCTCCAGCTATTCCACTTTTGGGTATATTTACAAATACAATGAAAACAGGACTTTGATGAGATCTATGCTCTCATGTTTATCACAGCATTATTCACAAGATACAGAAACAACTCATATGTCCATCAGTAGGTAAATGGATAAAAAAAGATGTAGTGCATTTACACCATGGAATATTATTCAGCCTCAAGAAGGGAAGATACCTTCCTATTTACAAGAATATAGATAGATCTTGAGCACATAATGCTAAACAAGATAAGTCAGGCAGAGAAAGACAAATACTGTATGATATCACTTATATGTGGATTCTAAAAAAGTCACACCTATAAAAAGCAGAGAATAAAATGGTGGTTACCATAGGATTGGAGTGGGGGATAAGAGAGATGGTATTTAAGGGTGCAAACTGGTAACAAGTAGTAAATAAGCTATAGAGGTCTAATGCACAATGTGATGAATACAAATAATAATATTGTACTATAATTATGTAATTGATAAAGCTATATTAGCAATCATATTGCAATATATAAACGTACCAAAGTAACACATTGTACACCATCAACTTTTAAAATGTTACACAAAAAAACTCAATAAAAAATATTTTTAAAATATGAAAAGAACATTAAAAATGAACTATATTGAAGTCCTCAAAGAGATAAATGAAGAAAGAGAATCAATGAAACAAAAAAGGAACAGGAAAATATGAAAAAGAATCAATTGGAAATACTGGAAATGATGGATTTAGTCATTGATATTAAAAAACATAATAATAATAAGATGCCCTAAATGGCATGACTGGGACAGGTTAAAAGACAGTCAGTGATTTGGAATCAAGCATTCTCCAAGAATACATCATTAGCAAGTTAAGACATAGGATATATGCAAATCTAGTAATCCTCAGAAAAATTCACATATATGCATGCACACACTAATTTTTACAAACAATTTTAGGAGGTTCCAGAGACCTTGAATCCAACTTCAACCCTAGAATTATGAATACAACAATGTGTCTTAAGATTTGAAATCTGTCCCACTCCATTAATGCATACAATAAAATACTAGTTCAAGGTGCAGGAAACAGACATTAAATATGAGTTAGGATCAAATCAAAGTCAAACCAAGGTAATAAACCAATTAAATCTGATCAAGAAACTCACTAAGAAAGTGTCCTGAATCCTGCTAAACATTCTCTTTTGAAAAACTCAGGTAAGATCAAGAAAATCCATATTATCCATAGCAAATAAAACTGCAGCATACAGCAAAATTGGTTAATTATAATAATTAGCATTTTAGAATGCAGGTATTCTTTTAAAGCTTGTATCGGCATCACAAAATGTGACAAAATAAGTATTTGTGAAAAGCAAAAAAACAATTTTTTAAATAATATTAAATAATCGGTATGGGGATACAAGATTGGTGGAGTTTGAAAGAAAGTAAATTGCTCTAACTTAGAAAAAAGTAACAAAGAAGACTGAAGGGAAAAATCTATAGAAGTTGCCTAGAAGAGGGGGAACTTAAAAGACTAAGCTGGAAAAGAGCAATAAAAAAATTCAGAGGTTGCTACATAGTGATCTGGGATGAGATACACAGAACTTCTAATGGCAATACAAGTGATACATGCTATAAGCTGTATAATGCGAGTTCCACAATATCTTTAGAAAAGTCTCATCTTTTGTTTGTTGTTTTTTAAATGGAGTGGAGAGGCAATGAAGCACTGAATTCTTCTCCAAGGCTGGCCTAAAGTAATTACAGATACAGACAGCTAGCCAAAATCTATTACATAAGAAGGATTTAATTTGCTTTTTACTATGAACTGAAACAGAAATTTTTGGTCCCCATCAAAAAGTCAATGAAAAACAGCTATCTTACACAAATCTCTCAAAACAAATCTCTCAGATTCTGAAAATATGAAAATCTCCCTTGAAATAGAATTGAAATTATTTCAGAATATAAAATTCAAATGTTATACTGAGTATTTTGTGTTTAAGATAGCCAAGATCTTTGGAAGGTAAAATAACTTGTCTGAAGATCTCTAGTGAGAATTTGGAAATAAACTGTGTCTCTTGAATATTTTTTTAAATGCTTTCATAAACTTCAGTATTAATATTCTTTCAGGATATATATTTCCATAGGATTTCTTCAAGCTGATGTGGAGAAATTATCTTGTTTGATGACCTTGAAACACGTAAGTACATGTATTTATCTTCTTTGAGTATTTTCATGTTACTTCAAAAGTATACAAAAATCAGGTTGACTTGAAGTTCACAGCTTTATAAAAGAATGGTGCCTGGTTTGAAATAGTAAATTTGAATCGCAACAGATCAGATTCCTTTGAAATACTTTCACATTGCAAACGATGCAGAATAGTCCTGTTCTGATTTTAAAATCTTCATTTGTTGTATACACTTCCCGCTTGGAAACATAACTGTGTATGAGTCTGTCTCATCACATGCCATCTCCCTGATTAGATGATAGAAGCATTTATGTATGAATCTTTGTTTCTCCTCAAAACACATTTCCCTTAGAGAAGAAACTGAAGGACAAGTTTTCAATCTTTGCAGACCACCTACAAAGGCTTTCTTTTCTCAGAACAAAACTTTCTGGCCTGGAACATTCTATTCCCAATTAAAAGCAGCAAACATGAAAATGCTCGGTGTGGAATGGTGCAGTCATGCAGGCCTTCACTGGAGGGAATGTTTTCTTCGTACTCATGAGATAAAATTAAACTGAATTTTCCATCAACATTTGAAGACTTCACTGTAATCATATTTAATGCATGAAAGTATAAGAACTACAGGTACTAAAATCTTGATGAACAAATATGAACAGCATGTATGTTTTCAAAATTCTTTCATTTTACTGCTAAAACATAACATTTAAGGAAATATGTCATTGAGAAAAACATATACAACTAGCCCTAAATATTTGCAAAATTAAATGGTTCTCAAGAAATCAAAACCAAAGATAATAACTTTTAAATGGCACTCACCAACCACAATTGAAGACTCACAGTGATAATAACCATCACTTTGCTTTTTCTTCAGCATGGAGCAAAGATCTATGCGATGCATCATTTCTTCTCCAAATTTATGACTGATAAATTTTTCATAGAAGTCGGGGTCTATTTTTTTCACTCCCTTGAAGTGACAAAATGAAATCACATCAATCAATCATTTCACCTAGGCAGTCAGTTCACATTTATATCACTTTCTTAGAACCTGCTATTACATTGTAGTATACAGTAGTGCCTACTGGCATTTGAAAATGGATACCACAGAACTGTTGTAAAATTGTTTTTAAAGTTTCCCTGCCAAGGATGAGTTCTATTAAAAAAAAAATTAGAGTGTTGGGTTTAAATTTGGCAGCATGCAGAACTTTGTATTTTTGAGCTTCAGACATAAAAAGTATATCAAATTGAAATTAGAATTATCAAAGAAACTAATCTCCAACAATATTGGAGAAATGGGTGAATTCTGAAAATGTGAGTGGACTTAAATTTTATAATGTACAAAATATTTTAACAAAAATGATGCAACTTTTAAACTCCCTATGTAAGAATCATCTGAAAGACAATTCAAAGTTGTTTGAATTGGAGGAGGGGGCCTGTGGATCTTCCAAGTTCTTTTCTACCTGTCCTTTATTCTCAGTGTCTTTCATAGCAGGAAGAGGGCTGGTTGTTGAAAGTTATGATGTTCTTCACACCTCTGTAGTTTCCCAAAACAAGGGAATGAACACGTCCTCCTCCCTTTCCTATACAATGGCCATGCACCCCACCTCAGCGCCAGAATACAGTCCACAAGCTGACGGTACAATCCTTCACAGGGCATGCTTACTGGCTGACCATGTTCTCAACATCTTCTTTCAATTTATATTTCAAAAACCACCCTGTAAATACTTGTCATTTGCTAAACATTAGAAAATATGAAAAAAATACAGAAAAAGAAGAAAATAAAATCATTCATGACTCTACTTTTTATATAAAACACATTAACACTGTGGGATACACCCTTCAGGTCTTTCTATGCATATATATATTATTTCGAGATTATATTTATGTAAGTCTTAATAAAGTGTAATTAGAATACATATTTTTCCTTTCTATTACCAAGTTTTTTATTACAGAAAATTTTAAAGTAGGAATATAAAAAAATGGAATCATGAACTGCAACTATTATAATTTTGTCATGTTTTATTTTTCTTATACAAAACACTTTTTTATTTTTTTACAGGAATGTGGTTGAGCCATGAGTACTCTTTGATAATCAGCTTTTTTTTTTCAGTTAATACGTTGTGTCAATAAATAACTTACAGATGTATAAAAATATTTTTGTCTCCATAGTACTACAATGTATAGAGATACCATTAATTTATTCATCTAATTCTTTATTTTTGAACATTTAGAGTGCTCTTAATTATTAATATTTTATTTAACATTTTGTATTAATAAATGTTTTTGTTCTGTGTCCAAACTGAGATCCTGATCTTTGCTAACTGCTCCACTCACAGACTTACCCATGTCAGTTAACAATAACTCTATTCCAGTTATCAGGAGGAAAGCCTTGGGGTCATCCTTGATTCTCCTCTTTCTCTCAACCCTATCTCCAATCAAATCGTATTGGTTCTGCCTTCAAAACACGTTGAATTCTCACCATCCTCTTGTTACCCTTGCCCAAGCCACCCATTTCTGTCTTCCACCTGGGTTATCCCAAAGGCCTTCTGTCTTCCCACCCTAGCCTCCTCTACAGCCAGTGATGCTTTGAGAAGATACATCAAATCGGGTCCCTCCTCTGCTCAAAATTCTCCATAGGGTCCCCATTTCTCTAAAAGGAAGAGCCAAATTCCCCAGAACACCCTACAAGACCCTGTTCTGCCCTCTCTGTACATCTTGGGCCTTGTCTTCAATGCCCCCTTACCCCTGCTTCAGCCTCCCTGATCTCCTTTTCTTTCCTTGAACATGCCAGGCACAAGTTCACCTCAAAGACCTGGTACTACCTGTTCCCTCTTCCTAGAATGTTCTTCCACCAGGTATCCTCAGGGCCCATGGCCTACCTCCTTTCATCCCTTACTCAAATATTACTTTCTTAACAGGCCCTCACCTGACCACCTGTTGAATCTGGACTCCCTCCCCAAGAGGTATTCGCAAGTCCACTCTGCCCTCCTCTCTTCATAAATATTTGTGTATATTTTTTCATGGCACTTATCATCATCTAACAAGCTACCTGATTTTTACTTTATTATATTGCTTTTCATTGTTTGTCATTACCTGCCTCTCTCCATTAGAATATAAGTTCCACACAGGACAGGATTTTTGCCTCACTTTTAGTCAATGAAATATCCCCAGTGCCTAGAATGGTGCTTAACATAGAGCAGTGCTCAATAAATAATTATCACAAAGGCAGAGGAGAAAGTTTCAAGAAAAGAATACTTGACACATCAAATGCTGTTCATTAATAGTTCATCAAGAAGGAGCTGGGTGTATTTCTTTTCATTTGGTAACAAGAATGCCTTGAGAGAGACAGCAGAGCATAATGCTAAGGTGCAATCAGAAGGAGTGAGTTCAAATTTTTGCCCTGCTACTTTCTAGCCATGTGGTTTGATTTCAGTTTCCTCATCAGTAAAATGGGGTTAACAATAGTACCTACTTCAAAGTGCTATACAGACTAAATGAGTGAATTTATTAAAGTGCTTAGAACAGTGAAGTACAGTAAATGCTACTATATATAAACACTTCATATATATATAGCTATTATTATCATTGATGAACTTTAAGGAATAACTTCAGTAGAGGTAAGGTTTCAGGAATTAATTTTTCAGTTCTGAATAAATGCAAACTAACCATTCTTATTTCTTTTTTAAATGCTTTTTCTTTTTTGTGTGTTTGTGCTGGGGTGGGGGAGAGGGAAATGTAGGTGTCATTCCCTTAGGCCAGCCAAGAGAAGACTAGTGACAACTTAGCAGAAAAAAAGGACCTTCAGTTTTCAGGATAACAATGCCGGTACTGGCTAGCCACTGTAATCTCAGCTTTGTCACTTATTTTTTTTTAAGTAAGAAATAAGGGAAACATAAGAATGACTCTCATCTGTTAAGCTAACTAATTAATTTAAGCAAAAAGTAAGGACCAACTATTTTGCAAGAATTCTTCACAGATCATTTCCAACATGAGTCTTAAGGAATTAATTTTTACTAGAGTAAAATGGAATTAATTGTTTAACTCATCATTTATAGAGAGAGCTGTGGTTCAAAAAGGCATTAAGCCAAGAAAACATGTAGATGAACAAGACATTGAAAAGATGCTCAACATCACTAATCATCAGGAAAATACAAATCAAAACTGCAATGAGATATCACCTCATACCAGTCAGAATGTCTACTATCCAAAAAACAAGAAATAAAAAGTGTTGGCGAGCATGTGGATAAAAGGGAACCCTCCTTACACTGCTGATGGGATTACAAATTGGTGCACCCAATATGGAAAGCATGATGGAGATTTCTCAAAAAACTAAAAATAGAAATACTATATGACCCAGCACTTCCATTTCTGGGGATATACCCTTGAAACAAAATCTTTAATTTGAGAAGACATATGCACCCCTATGTTTACCACAGCATTATGTACAACAGCCAAGATATGGAAGCAACCTAAGTGTCCATCAATAGATGAATGGTAAAGAAGATGTGATACATATACACAATGGAATATCATTCAGCCATAAGAAGAAAACAAATCCTACCATTTGCAACAACATGGATGGACCTAGAGGGTATTATGTTAAGTGGAATAAATAAGTTAAAGATGAATACCATATGGTTTCACTTGTATGAGGAATCTGAAAAACAAATGAACAAACAAAACAGACTCATAAACAGAGAACAAACAGTTGGTTATGGGATGGGAAGGGAATGGATGAAATAGGTGAAGGGGATACAGAGCTACAAACTTCAAATTAGAAGAAAATTTAGTCACAGAAACAGAATTATAGCATAGGGGATGAAGCTCAGTATTGAAATATGTTTGTATGGTTACAGATGGTAACTGCACTTATCATGATGCACATTTACTATCATATGTAAATGATGCATCACTAAGTTGTTTATCTGAAACCAACATAATACTGTACATAAATTATATTTCAATAAAAAAATAAAAAATGCATGAATCCTTACAAGGCACTGGAAGTATATGCTCTGATCAAAAGATATCTTTAATAATATAAAGACTCTAGAAATAGAGAATAATCTGCTTTGTCTGATGTATAATATTAGCATGAGCTTTGTTCTCTAGGGAATTTTTTGTTTGGCAATGTATTTCCTTTTTTTTTTTCAGGCTCTTTGTCCAAGGGCAATATATATATTTTCCAGTAAAATGCATCTGAATTAGTCTCACCATCCAGCTGCAGCAGGGAGCATTTGCTTTCATAATAAAAGAAAGGCCTATCATTCTAAGAAAACAAGTATATCAAAACTGTCTATCATTAATATCATTAATTTAAGGCTATGGAGCCTCCTATTTTCTGAATGGATCCATTGGGTTGTCAAAATAGTCCCAGAAACGTCACCCCGCAAGGTTATATTTTAAAGCTAAAAAGGCTGTTGTTGGAGGGGGGAGCTAAGATGGCGGCGTGAGTAGAGCAGCAGAAATCTCCTCCCAAAACCACATATATTTTTGAAAATACAACAAAGACAACTCTTCCTAAAAGAGAGACCAGAAGACACAGGACAACAGCCAGACTACATCCACACCTGCGAAAACCCAGTGCCTTGCGAAGGGGGTAAGATACAAGCCGCGGCCCGGCGGGACCTGAGCACCTCTCACCCCAGCACCCGGCGGGAGGAGAGGAGTTGGAGCAGGGAGGGACAGGGAGCCCAGGACTGCTAAATAGCCAGCCCTAGCCATCCACACCCAGAGCGCAGACACAGTGCATGCGTGGGATGCTGGAAACTAGGGAAACAGGACAGGAAGACCTGTGAGCGGGTTCCTGTAGCCGGCGCCCCTGGGACAAAGAACAGTGAGTGCTTTTTGAAAGTCTTAAAGGGACAGGGACCCCACAGCTGGATGGAAGTGTCCTGGGACACTCAGCCCAGCAGCTGAGAATCCTGGGGAACTCTGGGCACCCTAACCCCCTGGACAGCAGGACAG